GACTGAACACACAACAACACAAAACACAACACAAAACAAACAACACAACACAACTAAACACACAACACATCATACAAAACAACACACACACTCCAACATAACCAATAATACAGTGTATGATCTGTCTGTGAACGAAACACACGGCACACAACAAAACACAAGGTACAACAAAAGTCACATGACTGAACACACAACAACACAACACAACACAACACAACATACAAAACAACACACACACCCACACAACCAATAATACAGTGTATGATCTGTCTGTGAACAAAACACACGGCACACAACACATCAAAACACAAGGTACAACAAAAGTCACATGACTGAACACACAACAACACAAAACACAACACAAAACAAACAACACAACACAACTAAACACACAACACAACATACAAAACAACACACACTCCCACACAACCAATAATACAGTGTATGATCTGTCTGTGAACGAAACACACAGCACACAACACAACAAAACACAAGGTACAACAAAAGACACATGACTGAACACACAACAACACAACTAAACTTACAACACAACATACAAAACAACACACACTCCCACACAACCAATAATACAGTGTATGATCTGTCTGTGAACAAAACACACGGCACACAACACAACAAAATACAAGGTACAACAAAAGTCACACGACTGAACACACAACAACACAAAACAACACAACACAACTAAACACACAACACAACATACAAAACAACACACACTCCCACACAACCAATAATACAGTGTATGATCTGTCTGTGAACAAAACACACGGCACACAACACAACAAAATACAAGGTACAACAAAAGTCACATGACTGAACACACAACAACACAACACAACTAAACACACAACACAACATACAAAGCAACACACACACCCACACAACTAATAATACAGTGTATTATCAGTCTGTGAACAAAACACACGGCACACAACAAAACACAAGGTACAACAAAAGTCACATGACTGAACACACAACAACACAAAACAACACAACACAACTAAACACACAACACAACATACAAAACAACACACACCCCCACACAACCAATAATACAGTGTATGATCTGTCTGTGAACAAAACACACGGCACACAACACAACAAAACACAAGGTACAACAAAAGTCACATGACTGAACACACAACAACACAAAACACAACACAACTAAACACACAACACATCATACAAAACAACACACACACTCTCACACAACCAATAATAGTGTATTATTTGTCTGTGAACAAAACACACAGCACACAACACAACAAAACACAACACAAAACAAACAACACAATTCAACTAAACACACAACACCACATACAAAACAACACTCACACACACACACACACACACACACACACACAACCAATAATACAGTGTATGATCTGTCTGTGAACAAAACACACAGCAAACAACAAAACACAAGGTACAACAAAAGTCACACGACTGAACACACAACAACACAAAACACAACACAACTAAACACACAACACAACATACAAAACAACACACACACTCCCACACAACCAATAATACAGTGTATTATCTGTCTGTGAACAAAACACACGGCACACAACACAACAAAACACAACACAAAACAAACAACACAATTCAACTAAACAGACAACACCACATACAAAACAACACACACACACACACACAATCAATAATACAGTGTATTATCTGTCTGTGAACGAAACACACAGCACACAACACAACACAAGGTACAACAAAAATCACACGACTGAACACACAAAACGCAACACAAAACAAACAACACAACACAACTAAACACACAACACATCCTACAAAACAACACACACACACACACACACACAACCAATAATATAGTGTATTATCTGTTTGTCACAAAACACACAACACAGCAAACACAAGGCACAACAACACAAGTTACACGACTCAACACACACACATACACACACACACACACACACATAATCAATGTTGTCAGTCTGTCTAACCCTCCATCTGTTAAACAGGACATCCACAAAGATCAGCCGTACTATGACATTCCGGATACCCCATACAGAATCACCGTCCCGGACACACACGAGGCGCGGGAGGTAAGACGAAGCCTTATTAATTCATTAATTTATTTATAATAAATATAATAACTCATATAACAACTCACAATAACACACACTCTAGGGTTGGGCGATCAATCGACCAATTTGGCATCGTACGATGTCTAATGTGAAACATTGCGATGGACGATGGCATCGTCGTCATAGGCGGTAGAAAATTAAATGTGATTTAATTGTAATTCATAAGGAATTAATTATTTGTAGCCTACAGTTTTAACTACAGGCCCAGCATGGTCTTTGTTTTACCAACAATCAAATCATAAATAAGTAAAGATAAGCTACACACAAATGACCACCTGTCAATCACTTTTCCAGCGGGACTCTGGCATGAATAGGCAGAGTGATCTTTGTCGTTATAATGGCGTCGATAAAGTGGTCAAAAGGTGCGGTAAAAAAGGTGCACAACCAACAGCAACCAACCAACAGTCTCTGAGTTTTTCGCTAAAATGACTAAGTACAAGCATGAATGCAAAAAAATTAAAGCAGTGTACTGACGCTGTGACATGTTACCTGATGGATTCAAAAGAGCGAAGAGTCTTAAAGATTAATTAACCACTTAAACTCTGCTGTTATTTGGGGATTTCCGCCTGGATTTTGCCTACCCAAATTTAAAAGCTTCCCAAATCCACATGCAAAGGTCTAAATGCAAAAATTTGCTATCATTTTAAAGAAAACCCTTTGAATTTTCATAAAGCACTATTGAAAGTGTTTAAAATATCTGTATATGTTGTCTGTGTTATAATAAACACCTAAAAAAGAGGCACTTTTTTTTTTATTTTTTTTTTTTAATAAACTCAAATTTGAAAGTGTACCTTTTAGGTTCCTTGAGGTCTCGCGTGCTGTAATTAATTTTCTTGGTTCCTGCACATGTCTGTAATCATAGGAAAAAAGAAAAATGTCTCCACCATAATCTATCCAAAAGTTATTGTATTCCAGCTGATGAGAGGTGCTGTACATTGTTTTCATATTTCACTATTCTTCTGTTTGATCAAACATAATTCACTGTGTTTGGAGCACGTCAGACATATAAAAGGATTACTTATGCACATCACCTCAAAAACAGAGGAGAATGACCCTGAAGCGCACAGCATAAGGTAAGAGATGACAGCTGTCTGTGCTATCTGGGGCTGCTTACTGATCATGAATGTATTGTTTACATTTCTGCGCCATGGAAACACCATGATTCATTCAGCAACTGTTTGATATGTGAAAATAATTCAGTAAAAAGAATTCTAGAACTGTATGAGCACCGGCAAGAGCTTTCATTTGTGCTATAACTTGTACATGTGTCTTATGAAAAATATGGAAATGAACCAATGTAAAATACCTAGCTCGGGTATCCAAAATACTGTATATTTAAGTGTTAAAACCTTTTATACAGTAGAATAAAAACCAAAGTGATGCATATGTGCATAAAATATAGATTCTACACTTTCAAACGACACCCCTTACGGGGGTCTGGTGCAACGCTAGCCCTTTAAATCTGAAAGCGAAAGTCAATGACGTCACGGACCCGGTAACGGGTCCGCAGAGTTTAAGTGGTAGATCACGTTTACCAGCTATAGTGAGACGCCATCCAGCGGTACATCCTTGATAAACTGTCCGACATGCACTGCTCTCTGGGGTTTTGTGCTCAAGCACCTGCTGACTACTGGAACTCAGACGCTGCAGCACATGACAGAGTATGTTGTGTGTGTGCGTGCAAGCGTGTGTGTATGGTTTTCTGCAGTATAGTGTGGGCTGAGATCTGTTCAGAAATCCTATATGAAACATCAGTGTGGACGTGGATCGTTTTCAATCTAAAATGCCGTTTTAAAACTAAGCTTTATTACTAAAACTAAAACTCTATTCAAGAGTTCACACTTAGATATTGACAAATGTTAGCAGGTTTGGTCCCGGGAGAGAACCCTGAGCTCAGAGATAATTGAGCCCAGGGCTTCTGCCTGTTCAATTGAGCATGTAAGGGGAGTACGAGATCAGATCTTCCTGTGATAAAGGAAGAAAGGAGGAGATGGGGTGGTAGGGGGGGTTTCTTCGGAAAACGAAGATAAGGGAGTAGCTTTAGCCAGGCTACTTATAGTAAGTTTAGATTAATCTGATTGGCTAACTAATGATTGTAGATGAGAGACCAGCTGCGGTCAATCACATCACATGCTCCTCTCGAAACTATTTTGTGAAACCTCACGCCTAAGTGTGTGTTTTTCGTGAGCAGGTTGCTGCTGTGACAAGGGCGGGGCGGAGGATTGCGATGCCGGCTCAGCATCGTGATGTCTATCGGCCATCGGTGGTGGACGATGGCGTTGTCTATTGGCCAAACCCTAATACAACAACATTACATAGTGCCAGCAGATCATTTAAAAAATGTCAGGACAATTAGAACAATTGTGCCAAGGGAAACACAAACTTTTGCTTGAAGAGATGTTGTGCTTTTGTTGTTGTTGTTTTTTTGTACATATTTCCTATTTTTTATCTTTGTTTTTAATCAAGAGTCTGATTGAAATATGTGCATAATGTACAGTGCATCCGGAACATACTGATAGCGCTTCACTTTTTCCACATTTCTTTGTGTTACAGCCTTATTACAAAATTTATTTAATTAATTGATTTCCTCAACATTCTACACACAATCCCCCATAATGACGATGTGGAAAAAGAGTTTTTGAAATTGTTGCAAATTCATTTAAAATAAAAAAAGCTGAAAAATCAGATACACATCAGTATTCACAGCCTTTGGTGTAAAGCTTTAAATTGAGCTCAGGTACATTCTGTTTCCACTGATCATTCTT